GGCTTTGGGTCGTCCCAGCTCCAGCCATTGCAGCCACTTAGGGAGTGAACCAGCAGATGGAAGATTCTCTCTCTAACTCTGCCTTTCAAACAAATAAGTAAATCTTAAAAAAGATAGATAGATAGATAGATAGATAGATATAGATAGATAGATAGACAGACAGACAGATGATAGATATAGAGAGGAAGGGGCCGGCGCCGTGGCTCACTAGGCTAATCCTCCGCCTGTGGTGCCGGCACACCAGGTTCTAGTCCCAGCTGGGGCGCCGGATTCTGTCCCGGTTGCCCCCCTTCCAGGCCAGCTCTCTGCTGTGGCCCGGGAGTGCAGTGGAGGATGGCCTGAGTCCTTGGGCCCTGCACCCCATGGGAGACCAGGAGAAGCATCTGCTCCTGCCTTCGGATCAGTGCAATGCCCTCGGCAGCCATTGGGAGGTGAACCAACGGCAAAGGAAGACCTTTCTCTCCGTCTCTCTCTCTCTCTCTCACTGTTCACTCTGCCTGTCAAAAAATAAAAAAAAAATCAAAAAGAAGGAAGGAAGGAAGGAAGGAATATTGGAAACCAATTCTCCCCTAATGTCACTGCAGTGGCAACAGCTGACACATATCACCTGGGTAAGCCAGGTCAAACTTCAAAACATTTGTTTAAGATTTATTTATTTATTTGAAAATCAGAGCTACAAAGAGAGAGGGAGAGACAGAGCTTCCATCCACTGGTTCATTCCCCAAATCTCAGTAATGGCCAGGGCCAGGCCAAGCCAAAGCAAGGAGCTTCCTCCAGGTCTCCCACATAGGTGGCTGGGTCCCCAAGGACTTGGGCCATCTTCTGCTACTTTCCCCAGGCCATTAGCAGGGAAGCGGATCAGAAGAGGAGCATCCGGGACTTGAACCGGTGACCAAATAGGATGCTGCCATGGTAAGCAGCAGTGTTGCAGCCGGCGGCTTCACCCGCTACCAAACGACATGGGCCCTGGGATGGATTTTTTTTGAAGAGGAGTAAGTTAGCATTCATGGGAGGCAGGTTCTAGAATTTCGTGTGGAGAGGAGCCAGACGTGGCCCATGAGCTGCAGGCTCCTCCAGAGCTCTGTGCACACACACTGATTGCTGTCCGTGGATTCTGGTCTTCCTTTCATGTGTCCTGGCTCATTCTCAGCACAGGTCAAGGTCAAATGCTTCGTGCAGCCTGGACAGTAACCGGGCTTGAGGCAGCCCAGGTGGTTCTGATTAGGTCTGGAAGCATCAGACTCGTCCAATCCTCCCCCAAGCTCTGGGTCCCTGTCCTTGCCTGCTGGTGCCAAGCGTCCCTCCCCACGAGACCTAACTAGCCAGTTCCAAGATGAATCCTTTGATTCCGGCTCTCCACCTACCCTCCCCACAAAGAGTCGTCAAGAAAAAAAAAAAAAAAAGAGAGAGAGAGAAAGAAAAAAAGAGAAAAAAGTTTGGCTTGGGATAGAGCCCCAGAGATTGGGTTGGCCAGCCTGCATGCTTTGTAGATCAACATTTTAATGAGTTAAGTGCACAGGAATCAGAAAGACAAGGGTCACATTTCCCCCGACATACTTGGGGGTGGGAGTGCAGAACGCACTCTGATTTTGGCCTAATCCCAAATCAGGAGGGCTGCCAGGTGCTTGTCTGTCTTGATGTTTGGTCCAGCAGCTGGGCCAGTTCCCTGCCCCCTCCCCGCACACATACACACACTCAAGGGCTTCAGCCTGTGAGGGACAAGCACATGCAACACAGGGCCCTGAACGCCTGTGGAGACAGGACAGGGACATCCAAGGGCCAGGCAGAAATGGAGGCAGGTGACAGTGCGCGCACCACGAAAGGGTCTGCCATGGAAAAAGTCAGGAAGACACTGACCATTACACTCCCAAACACCTCTCACAGCCATCTGCGCACACAACAGGGATGATAAAACGACAGCAACAAAGACCCGGAGCACTGTGCTCCCTGGGCACAGGGGCGACCCTGTGCCGGGCACGCGTGCGTTCTCCCTTTTAAGGCACCGTGAAATTTTTTTTTTTTTTTTGCCTTGATTTAGAAGTTGATCTCGGGGCCGGCCGCTGTAGCATAGCGGGTAAAGCCACCGCCTGCAGTGCCGGCATCCCATATGGGCACTGGTTTGAGTCCTGGCTGATCCACTTCTGATCCAGCTCTCTGCTATGGCCTGGGATAGCAGTAGAAGATGGCCCAAGTCCTTGGACCCCTGCACCCATGTGGGAGACCTAGAAGAAGCTCCTGGCTCCTGACTTCGGATCGGTGCAGCTCCAGCCGTTGTGGCCAATGGGGGAGTGAACCAGCAGATGGAAGACCTCTCTCTCTCTCTCTCTGCCTCTCCTTCTCTCTCTGTATAACTCTGATTTTCAAATAAATAAAATAACTCTTTTAAAAAAAGATGATGAAGTTGATAACTTTCTCCTGCAGTTGAAGCCATTTCCTTTAAAAAAAAAAATTATCTACAGGCAAACAGGGAAGGAGGAGGAGAGAGAGAGAGAGAGATCTCATCTGTTGGTTCACTCCCCCAGATGGCTGCAATAGCTAGTGCTGGGCTAGGCCAAAGCCAGGAGCCAGGATCTTCTTCTGAGTCTCCTACATGGCTGCAGGGATGCAAGGGCTTGGCCATCTTCTGCTGCTTTTCCCAGGTGCATTAGCAAGGAGCTGGATCGGAAGTGGAGCAGCTGGAACAGGAACAGATGCCCATGTGGGATGCCAGCACTGCAGGCAGTGGCTTTATCTGCTACGCCACAGCGTGGGCCCCGAAACCACCTCTTTTTTTTTTTTTTTTACAGGCGGAGTGGACAGAGAGAAAGGTCTTCCTTTGTTGTTGGTTCACCCTCCAATGGCCACCGCGGCCTGCGCACTGCGCTGATCTGATAGGAGGAGCCAGGTGCTTCTCCTGGTCTCCCATGGGGTGCAGGGCCCAAGCACTTGGGCCATCCTCCACTGCACTCCCGGGCCACAGCAGAGAGCTGGCCTGGAAGGGGGGCAACCGGGACAGAATCCGGCGCCCCAGCTGGGACTAGAACCTGGTGTGCCGGCACCACAGGCGGAGGACTAGCCTAGTGAGCCATAGCGCCGGTTACCAAAACCACTTCTAAATAAAAACGATTGCCTGGTGGTGAGGAAGCATGCTTCAGGAGAGAGAGGCTTTTCTCTGGACCATGGACTCAGCGAGGGGTCGGGGGTGTTCTGGAACTGTGCTGCACCGGAGCTGTGCTGCCCAGCTCGGGGCAGAGGCAGGGTCACCAGGAAGACGTGGAGGAAGGGGAGGTTTCGCTAGGAGCCCAAGTGGGCAGAACACACCAGCTGTCACTTTGCTTCCTGTGAGGGCCCAGCCAAGCCAGCGCAGAGTGGGTGCTTTCCCTGTGGCCAGCTGACTGCACAGAAACGCGTCTCTGGGTCCAGGGGACACCTAACCTGTCCCTCCTCCGTCTCCATCAGGGGAACACCTCCGTCCCCTATCTCCAGCCTCTGTGGCAGGAACAGCTGCCAGTCTGGCAGTGCGAGGGCAGGCACCCAAACAGGAGGCAGCAGTGTGCTTGGAGAGGATGCAGGATCTGCGTGCGGTCTGCGCTCGGGGACACACACGCTGCCATTAACTACCATGATGCTCCAGTCCTCTCTAGCTCCTGGCTTCCTGCCACCTCCTCCCACCCTCCTCCTCCTTCTCTGCAGGAGCCTTGGGGCCTTCCCCAAGCCTGGCCCAACACACGGCCTGATTTAACTATCATGGCCAGCTGCCAGCCTCGGGGGCAGGGGTGCTGACCCTATGCCACCCGCCTTTGGACCCTATGCCCCGGGCCTTCACTCCTTCAGATCGTGGGCCTCCTTGTTAGAGACAGAATTATCCAGATCTCCCTAAGAGTCACGGGAGAGTGAGGCAGCATGCCCCCGCCCCCACCCCCACCCCATGTATGGTTGACAGGGAGTTGGGCCAGACTCCCTGGTGGGTGGGGCCTCTGTGGCTCTGCCCATAACCCGAGTTTCAAACCGCCCAGATGGGAGCCAATGGAGCATGCAAGTCCCAATTCTGCCATCAAATCCCCTGAATTCCTCAGCCATCGGGCAGTTCCACCAGTTGGTTAACTATGCAGCAAGCCCCAGCCTGTCCAGGGCTGGGGTTTGGGGATGGCTGCAGCCCAGGGTCCTAGGAGGAAGCTGGAGACGAAATGCAGCTCCCAGGACCAGTGCTGGGCCTGGCAGATAAGACATGGGTGAAGACGCCCTTGACCTACGTGGGGAGCACCTGGGTTCCACACCCAGCCCTGGCTTCTGGCCCTGGCTTCCTGCTAATGCACCCGACAGGGAGGCAGCGGTGAAGAGAGATCAGGAGTTCCTGGCCCCCAGCTCAGGCTGTTGCAGGCATTTGGGAGTGAACTAGCAGCTGGGAACCCCGTCTCTTTGGTCTCCCTCGGTCTCTGGGCCTTAAGCAGTGTTTTAAATGGTGTCTCTGTGGCTGGGTGTGGTTTGGAGGTAGCAGGAATATTTGCACATTTCTACCTTGTGCTTGGAGGTGACTTATTAACCAGGGACCTACGTCAGTTGAAATCATCCCCCCATAATTGCTTAGAGTTCAAAGTCAGGCAGAAGCACTCCTCAGGCAAGAAGCTGAGAACCTAGCAGGAACCAGCTCGGGCTGGGCGGAGCTTCAACAGGTGTCACTCAGGCATGAGACCCACACACGGGAGACTCGGGAGCCCCGCATTCCCAAACCCCTGGCCACATCACACCCTAGAGTCTTCACTTGCCAGTCGAAGGGGTGGGCGCGGTCGGAAGTTCTCAGGCAGGTGCAATTCCCCTTGGGGAGCAGATGGTAACGGCCAAGGGGCTGGTGAGGGGAGGGCGGCCCGCGGTGCCCACCAGGCTCTCCTGTGGCCCACCCATGCCCAGACGCCATCTAGAAGCTGCGGAACTCAGGTGAGAAGGCACCACAGAGGACACCCGGGACGGAGCTGTGTGGCCACGGGAGGAGGCAGGGGGGAAATAAATCACCACTCACATGGTTGTTGATTAACTGAGTGATTTTAGTCATGTGATACTGATACATGGCAGGAAACAAAAAAAAAAAAAAAACAACAACAAAAGCATGAGGATAAAATGCACACATTTGGGAATGGCTATTAACATAAGCGATACCAAGCAGAACATCTGGGGGCGTGCAGTTTAAGAAAAAACACCGCAAATGAGATGGAATGGCAAACCTTTTCACAGTATTCAAAGCTTTCCTAACAAGGTCGGGGCTCCCAAAGGGGAGGGAGGGTGACAGGGAGGGAACCGGACGGAGCAGGCACTCCACCCGCGTCCTGGGCACCCGCAGGAGTCGCCACGGGGGCACTTTGAAAACAGACCGTGCGAGCCCTCCAGCTCTGGGCATGATGAGAAGACCGGATTCGAGGTTCAGGGGGTGGGGTGGCTGTAACCGCACGACTGGTGGACCCGAGTGAGAACGGGCGCTCTGGTCAGAACCTGCCTTGGGGAGCGGGGCTCCGTGTGCTCACCCTCAGACACAAGAGCCAAGGGCCACACGGGCTACTTCAGTAGCGAAACGTCCTTGGAATCCTCACCTCACCTTCTGCCTCCTAAACAGACTACCAGCATCCTCCACAGCCTGAGCCACGTGTTGCAAATCCCAGCGAGCTGTAACAACCTCCGTCCGGTTTGGAAACCGATGGCGACGGCGCCAACAAGCCTGCACGCTGGTTCTCTTACATCCTTTGTTGGGAGAAGCAGGGGCTCATGGCGCAGCTCTGGGCCCGACGGCAGCCTCCCTTTGGGTCCTGAACTGGCTGACGTGAGACAGAGAGAGCTGGTGTCCCCTCACCCCGGAGACTGCTAGCAGCCTGGACGACCCCTCCCCTAAGGCTCACTCTGGGGAGGGCGGGGCCCGCGGCTGCCCAAGGCACTTTGGCAGAAGGAGCAGGCAGCCCCAGCCCCCTGATCTCTGCACTCACCACCCCCCTCCCTGCCAGCCCGGCCCCAGGCACATGTGAGACTGCTCTGAGTTTCAGACCAATCAGAGAAGAGGAGAAAATGTCTACTTAGCTAATACGTATATACACGCACGCACACACCTGAAACCACAGGCCAACCAGGCATCCCCACCCCCGACGCTGTCTGATCCAAGGTCAAAGAACTAGACAAGGCTGCCGGTGCCTGCGAGCCGGTCACCACATCAGAATGGCCTGGGGGCAGGTGACCGAGTTGCTGTGCTGGTGTTCGGACTGCAGTCTCTGGGAGTGATTGGAAACATCGCCCACGTTCTGTGTGGGCCTGGGGCCGGGCGGGAGGGGGAGCTCCCGGGTGACACCTGGCAGCGCCCCTGCTGTGATCCGTGTCTCGGGGGCAAACGTACTGGGGACGGTCACTGAAGAATCTCAGGTGACAAATGTTCCTGGTTTGCACCGGCCAAGAGCAGCGAACCTAAGTGAGCTAGTCACTTGCCCCGCCCATTAATCAGGGAGCTCTGGGGAGCATCTTAGGGCACCTGGGGAAGGCTTGGCCTTTGATGCTGTCTCCTCGGATGGGGACTGGTGCCAGCTTTCCCACTGCAGAAATGAGAGAGAGGGAGGGAGAGAGACGGAGAGAGAGGGGGAGAGAGAGAGAGAGAGAGAGAGAGAGAGAGAGAGAGAGAGAGAGAAGGGCAGGAGGCAGGAAATCCCTTTGAGCCGTAGACAGTGGAATTGAAAGGAGTCCATTTCTTCCTGGCAGGAAAGGAAAGCACCCAACCAGGAAGACCCGAGGAGGGAGCAGCACAGCTGACCACACCTGGGTGCCCTCCCTCCCGTCGGGGCCCTGGACACCTTTCAGATGCTGAGTGTCGGCTTTTCCCGGAACCTTGATGAGGAAGTGGGCTTTGGGAGCTGGTGGGAGGGATGCCGAGACACGAGCAAACAGATGAGATAAGACAACGAAGCCGCACACCCAGGCTCACCACCCAGCCTGTCTTTTTGGAAAATCACTCTTCACTGCCTTCTCGGCCTGAGCAGCCCCATCTCCTTCGCCCCTGCCGCCTTTCTCGTCTCCCTGCGCAAGGGCAGGTTCTGGGGTCCCTCCACGGGTCTGAGGCAGGGCCGTGCCTCCTCCACCGTGTCCCCCAGGCCTCTGAGACTGGCTGAGTCAGAGCAGAAGATGGCCATGTGCAGAAAGCTGAGGGCAGAGCAGGCGGGGCCCTCGGCTTCCCCCATTACATCTTGTGCGTGTACCTTCTTCCATCCTGCACTCGTGACTACATCCCGCAACGGGGCTCGACTCCTCAGCGTGGGGTGAGTCCCCTTCTGTCCGGAGTGGGCAGACAGGGAAACCGCTCTGGAAGGGAAAGCGACGTGACTTGCCGATAGAATGTTCTAGTCCCAAAGGCACAGATCGGCCAGCAGAGCCACACGCGATTTGTGACGACACCAAGAAAGGCACAGCATTTCGTCTCCGATGCCAGCCCTCGCTCTTTTTTGTGTTTGTCTTCCCCAAACCCCTTTGCGAACTGGCCAAAAAAGAAATTTCTCTTAGGGACTCCATGCGTCTCTGGTTATGCACGGGGACTGCTGTTCCCTTGTGCGGGTCTGAGGGCCTTTCCTAGTCTAAAGGGCACTCACTCGACCTGGACGTGGCTGGACTAGGGGGTGTGAGCCTGGCTACTGTGGGGGCAGGGAGCGAGGAGGCAGCAAGAACAAAGCCAGCTGGGTTTCAGGGCTCAGTGAGAGAACCTCCCACCCCAGCATCCTGGGCCGGCCGCGCCCCAGCCCGCCCCGCGAGCGTCACTTGAAGACCGACTGAAAAGTGGGGCACTCGTGGTTTTTCATGCGCTTCATGAAGTTCTTGAACTCCTTGTTCCTCTTGTCCCACTTGTGAATGGCGGTGAGCAGGTACTGGCTCTTCACCTTGCGGCCCATGATGAGGAAGTGGTGGCTCAGGTTGTCCAGCTGGTGGCAGGGGCAGTCCGCCCCGTTCTTCAGGTACAGGACCAGCTTCTTCAGTTCCTTCTTCTTGATGGGGCCCAGCTTCAGCGGCTTCTTCTTCTTGGGGACGATCTTCTTGTCGCCGTTTTCTTTCTTCACCTCCTTGATTTTCATCCTCAGTGCTAGACAGGAGCGGGACAGGGAGAGGAGACGTTAGGACCCAGAACATCAGCCACAGCCACAGCCCAACCCATGCACCCAGAACCTGAACCACATCACACAACCTGTGTACCCCAGTGTCTCAATTACAACCACAGCCCAACCCGTGTGCCTGGCACCTCAGCCACAACCACAGCCCAACCCATGCACTCAGAACCTCAGCTACCACATCAGCCCAACCTGTGTACCCTGAACCTCAACTACAACCACAGCCCAACCCATGCACCCAGCACCTCAACCACAAAATCAGCCCAACCTGTGCACCTGGCACCTCAACTACAACATCAGCCCAACCTGTGTACCCAGCACCTCAACTACAACATCAGGACAACCTGTGTACCCAGCACCTCAGCTACAACATCAGCCCAACCCATGCACCCAATGTCTCAGCCAGAACTACAGCCTAACCCATGCACCCAGCACCTCAGCTACAACTACAGCCCAACCTGTGCACCCAGCACCTCAGCTACAACCTCAGCCCAACCTGTGCACCCAACTACAACCTCAGCTCAACTCATGCCCCCAGCATCTCAGCTAGAACCACAGCCCAACCTGTGCATCTGGTACCTCAGCTACAACCTCAGCCCAACCGTGCACCCAGCATCTCAGCTACAACTACAGCCCAACCTGTGCACCCAGCATCTCAGCTACAACTACAGCCCAACCTGTGCACCCAGCACCTCAGCTACAACTACAGCCCAACCTGTGTACCCAGCATCTCAGCTACAACCTCAGCACAACCTGTGCACCGAGCATTCTAAGACAACAACCCAACCATGTGGCAGCATGAGAGGGTAAAATGAAAAGGCAAAAATCCAGTGACAGAAGGTACTTCCTGTGTGAAGTCCAAGGCTTTTCCCCAGGGGCGAACCCTGCTCCTGGTCCTGCCCCGAGTTTGTGGTGCTGAGTGCTGTCTCAATCCTTGCTGGAGGCAGCTGTGAGATTCTCTGCTTCCCAAAATCGACTCACACAGGGGGCTTCCACACGCATACGCACAGACAATGCCTGCGATCTCTTCATCACACTTCTCCACCCACGTTTTTGATGCCCCCTTGTATTTGTCTCTTTTTATTGTTTCCTTTTTCAGATTAAAATGAGGTCTATTGATGTTCTGAGTCCAGTATAGGGATTGTGAAATGCTTCAGCTACAGCTAGTGGATGCTTCTAATTTATTATCAGAATTACTTCCCCGGGGGCCAGCGCTGTGCAGCAGTGGGTTAACACCCTGGCCTGAAGCGCCAGCATCCCATATGGGTGCCAGTTCGAGACCCAGCAACTCCACTTCTGATCCAGCTCTCTGCTACGGCCTGGGAAAGCAGTAGAAGATGGCCCAAGTCCTTGGGCCCCTGCACCTACATGGGAGACCTGGAAGAAGCTCCTGGCTTCTGGCTTCGGGTCAGCACAGCTCTGACCATTGCGGCCAATTGGGGAGTGAACCAGTGGATGGAAGACCTCTCTCTCTCTTTCTCTGCCTTTCCTCTCTGTGTAACTCTGCCTTTCAAATAAATAAATAAATATTTGTTAAAAGATTTGAAAGACAGAGTGTCATAGACACTGAGAGACTCTTCCACCCAACAGTTCACTCCCTAAATAGGCCACAGTGGTTCAGGCATGGCCAGACTAAAGCCAGGAGCCTGGAACTCCATCCAGGTCTCCCATGTGGGTGCAGGGGCCAAGCACTTAGGCCATCCTCCGCTGCTTTCCAGGCGCATTAGCAGGGAGCTGGATCAGAAGTGGAGCAGCCAGGACAGGAACTGGTGCCTATACAGGATGTCGGCCTCACAGACGGTGGCTTAATCCATTGCACCACAACCCAGCCCCAAGAAGACTTTATTATTTGCTATTTAGTTGACTGGAGAAGCACAGCCTTGGCTAATCCATGAATAACCAGGAGGAAGCGCTCAGAACAAACCTCTAACGAAAGCATCAACATCAGCCAGTGAAAGACTCTCTCACTGCCTGCTTTTTCTTACAGCGCTCCAGACCCTGGCGCCTCCTTAACTCAGACCCCCAGTTCCACCCTCGGCCTGAGACAGGCCTCACCCCCACCTGGGGCAGAAGAGAGCTGGGCCCTACTGACCAGAAGGCTCCAGGCACCCCGGGATCAGCCCTGGCCCCCAGGCTGGCTCAAGCTGCCCAGCGAGTTCCTTCCTTCAAACTCTTTCCCCTACCCTACGCGTGCACTGGCCCCTGCTTCTGGGTGCACTTGACTCTCCCCTCACATTGCACTGGGGCACGGTGAGGCCAGCAGGTGCACGTGCAGTGAACGCAACACAGCAGAGTCCGCTGCTGGACAGGCACAGCCACGGGTTCCACGTCTATGGTGTACCCAGCTGTTCAGTGGGGGGTCACGATCACACCTGCTCCACTGCACAGCTCATTAAGCGTCTGCTCCCTGCCTGCCCCTTGCAAAACACACACATGGGAGTGGGAGAAAGCACTTGTCACAAGCAGGCCACAGGCAAAGGAGTGAGGACCTCCAAGGGGTAGCCTTGGCTTGTGCACTAAGTCTCAAAGGCTCAGGCCGGGAGTCCTCCCTGCTGTCGGATGGCTACGTCTCTCCTGCAGGGACGCGGGCCCCCACCGACAGCAGCTGGGAGAGCTGCTCCATTGGTGCCTCCCTGGCTGCTGCCCACAGCAGTCCTGTTCAGAAGGCATCGCGGGGCAGGTGTTTAGCCTGGCAGTTTGGGCGCTGGCTAGGATGCCCCCACCCCCTGCTGGAAGGCCCCGATCCAATCCCCAGCTCTGCTGTGCACTCTGAGAGGCAGCAGATGATGGCCCAAGTACTTGGGTCCCTACTACTCATGTGGGAGACCTGGGTTAAATTCCAGGATCCAAGCTTTGGCCTGGCCCTGCTCTGGCCATTGTGGGCATTTGAGGAGTGAACCAGTGGATGGGCGCTCTCCCACTGTCTCTCTCATAAACACACAAAAATAAACTCTGAAAAATGTTCTGAAAACAAGCCACCATCATTCTATTCCGGGTCAGTAGAAGGACTCAGGGTAAGTAAGAACAGCACAAGAGAATTGGGATTAGAACCCACACCTAACCCCAGACACCATGCTCTCTCACCCACACCATGACTCAGTTTAAAAAGACATGGCTGGGACCACGGTGGTGGCATAGCAGGTAAAGCCTCCGCCTGCAACACCAGCATCCCTCATGGGCGCAGGTTCAAGTCCCGGCTGCTCCACTTCCAATCCAGCTCCCTGCTAATGCACCTGGGAAAGCAGAAGATGGCCCAAGTGCTTGGCTCCCTGCACCCACGTGGGAGACCCGGATGAGGCTCTTCGCTCCTGGCTTCAACCCGGCCCAGCTCTGGCTGTTGTGGCCATCTGGGGAGTGAACCAATAGATGGAAGATTCCCTCCCCCATCCTCCTCTCCCTCCCTCTCCCCATCCTCCTCCCCCTCCTCCTCTCCTCCCCTCTCCCCCTCCCCTTCCCTCTTCTCCCCCTCCCTTTCTCTGTCTGTAAGTGTGCCTTTCAAATAAACAAGTGAATCTTTTTTAAAGAAAACATGATCTTGCTTCAGTGGAAATTACTTCACTCTTCTGATTGTGTAGCTTTTAATCACAACTCGAATCACAACTCACTGCTCTTTCCCATGACCGTGTATAAGGAATGCGACGAACATGGATGGGGTGGGGGAGGGAGATCCGGGGAGGGAAAAACGTGTTCTGCATTAGACTCTCTCTTCCTCGCTCTTTCCTGAGCTGGGGAACACTCGCTCTGCCTTTCAAAGCTCTATTTGGGGATGCAGACCCCAGCAAGGCTTGGTCAGGCTGACTTCCCGTGCCTTCAGGATGTGTGTGCAATGCTTCACCCAGGGCCTGTGGAACAGCCTGGCCCAGGAACAGCCTGGAACTGACCACTTTGTTCCTGATTCGCCCTCGGCAAGGGCCAGGACCCCAGTGTTTCCCCCACCATGGGCTGAGTCCGCAGTGCAGCAGCTGGGGCAGGAGCTGCACGGAGCACCAGGTCCTGGCACCCAACTGTGTGACCTCGAATCCTGGCTTCGGAAGTCCCAGGCCGCAGGGTGCTACGTACGGAGTGTACAGGGCATCTGAGCGCCAGCCTGGGGCCACACCCGGCTGACCAGGGGCCCGCTGAGTCCTTTGGAGGCATGAGGGCCCCCCTCCCGCCCCACCACGCTCCCCGCTCCCACTTACCCTGCGGCAGATCCGGAGAAGCTTCCTCTGCCCAGGGCCAAGTGGACATCCATTAGGACATCATCCGGCGACCACACCAAATGATCAATTCAAAAATCAGCCTGATGCAGGTGCACGGAATCCCGAGACCCCCCGCAGCTGCCTTGGCAGGGCCGGCCCGATGCTCCAGGGACTCATCCAGCCCCCAGACTGGCTTCCCCCACCCCAGCTGGGGGTTGAGGGGGACAAAGAGACAGCTCAGCTCCCCACTCTGGCCCTGAACTGAAACAGAAGCCTTTCTTTGAGCAGCAAGGGCGGGCCATTTCTCTCCACTCTGCATCACCACCACCAAGAATTCGGAGACCCGGGATCTCTGACCAATCAGAAACCTGAGGCAGCAACTGGGGGCCGTCTCGGTCTCTCTCAGCAATCTTAAATAATCCCCCACAGTCGACGAGCGTGTTAGTACAGTTTCGCTCCATGACAGCCACCCAAACCTTATTTTTTCTGCTCACAAACGACACTCCTTGGCGCCTCCTGCAAAGCCTTATTTTTGAGGCTGAAATGAGACTACAATGGTGAATCCAAACTGTCTTGGAAACCATCCATTCCTGGGTGCGGGCGCTGTGTGGCGCAGCAGGTTAAGGTACCACCCACAACACAGGCATCCAGCATGGGCGCCCCCTCCCCCCGCCCCCTGGGGAAATACCAGTTCTCAGACACAGGACGAACACAGGCCGCAGACACCCAAAGGAAACAAGAGCCCAGCAGGAAGCAGGTGGCTGGCGGAAGCTGATTTGACCAAAAGGAGAGGT